GTGGTGGACGCGCATCTAGAGGCGTCTAGAAGCCGAACAGCGCGTCTGGCACATTTGGAGCAGCGTGGCTCAAAGCGGTGCATGTGCGGCACGTCCCAAGCATCCGCCGCATGAGTTGGAAAATCTGAACTTTTGCTGCTCGATGCGTCGCATCAACCAATCTGAGAGACTCATTTTTCCACGTGACAAGTTACCTGAATGTTGCCCACTAAACTGAAACAGACGAACAGGAGATCTTTACCTGCAATCGGACATCTGCAGTTGTATTTTCTGGCTGGATATATAAGTTCCGATGTGGGTCAGTTGGTCCGGACAAAAAAAAAAAGGTCCGTCAGCTGGCAGCTTCTGGAGCGGCGAAACTAACCGAACACATCGCCTCTAAATCATCTGGTGAATTAATTATCTGCTGTGCGCAATGTTCGCTTGCTCTTTAGTAATTAAATCAAAGCCATTTTTTTATCTTTATTCCACCCGCCGAGGGCAGACGCTCCTTCCACACCCCGCTGCCGCTGCTGCTGCTGCTTCTCGTTCTGGTCTGTGAATGCGTCTGTCCAGCATCAAGATGCGTGCGTTTTGAGATTTTTGGAGGCGCGCAACGCGTTTGGTGTGAACGTAGCATCATATTTCATTGGACTGTCTTTAGCTTTGATTACGTCACACATTCACAGTGTCATTGTTTCGATAAGCTTCTGCAATGTCACAAGATTTATTTCCATCCAGTGTTGCATTAATTTTTCACCAAGATCTTACATTTATGATGGTAGAGTCTGACCGCTGCACAAAGCCTTCTCCAGCACATCCCTAAGATTCTCAATGGGGTTAAGGTCTGGACTTTGTCGAGCCAGTCCATGTGTGAAAATGATGTCTCATGCTCCCTGAACCACTCTTTCACAATTCCAGCCATGAATCCTGGCATTGTCATCTTGGAATATGCCTGTGTCATCAGGAAAGAAACAATCCATTGATGGAATAGCCTGGTCATTCAGTATATTCAGGTCAGCTGACCTCATTCTTTGAGCACAAACGGTTGCTGAACCTAGACCTGACAAAACTGCAGCAACCCCACATCATAGACCTTAGTTAAATCCAGTTGGCAACTTTTTTGTTGGCCAGGCAGTGTAACTCGAGACAGAAAGGTGCTAGCTGCACAAAATTTGAACGCTGTACATGTGGTGGAACATGTAACAATTCAGCTTGGTCAAAGCAGCCCTAACCAGTCTGTAAAAATATACTTAAAACTGAATGTGACTTAATATTAGTCATAACTTGAGACACGAAGGTGCTTGCCACACAAAATCTGAAGTCAGTAAATTATGTTTACATGTTCACAATCATTTTTATTTGAGTCATTGTTCTGTTATAAACTGTACATAAACAGTCAATAAATCATATATATACATTTTCACAGTAATTTTGCTATTACCATTACTTCCCCACAAGACAAGTCAATCCGACCAATCAGGGTTTTGCCAAACACTGCCCACACTCAACCTCTGTCTTTTATCCAAACTCTACCAATCACTTTTAGGACAAACTCCACCCACACAACAAGGAACTTCCCCTATGTACTGCAGAGACCCCTACTTGGAGCAGCTAAAGGCTTTTCTCTGCCTACATCCCCCAGAATGCTGTGCAGTTCTGGATTACATTTGAGTGAAATAATCAACATCCAATAGACAAAATTTTCATTGATATTGATCATGTCTATAACAATATTGTTAWWGAATTATTGCCCAGCCCTAGTCATGATTAAGTATTAGTAGATWTTTGTTAAATGCCTCCTTGGTATTGTGCTACTAATAGGTCTTTCAAAGATTTTCCTTGGCTGTGGCTTTAATCATTTTTATTCCAAGAAAGACTTTGAAAGACCTTCAGAAACCCTGGAGAACCATTGGTGTTGCCACATTAATGGCTTGCAGGACAGTCTTACTGCATGCAGAATACAAAAAATATAGGTTAATTTTAAACCTTTACAAAGTTCTATAAATTTGGTTATAATTAAATAATTATAAATAATTAGAATTAAGCGTGCTCTGACRTCTGAGCCTGGACTTATGCAATTCTTCCCACAATTAGTTTATGAAATATGTGGAGATGAATGGAACAAAATAAATCTAACGTGAGCTTTTGCRTTTATTTTGTTCCTTTTGTTTTATCTGAGTAGTAAATGTTATTGTTTCATTAGTTTTTAGTGATGTGTTGAATAATTTCTGTGTTGACATACAAGTCTGTAGTTTGTGTCACACTCTGCATTGTCCCCTGTAATCGTGCATCATGTAAAAAGATAAGAAGATAAAGTAAATAAACAGAGTGTATCTGTTGTCACTGTGACATTTAACATTTGTAAAGTCTAAAAAATATATGTTTCTTTAAAAGTCATACATGTTGTATTTTGGAGTTGTGATGACGCRTTGATGTTCAAGTTGTCGTCCATATTGAGCAAAAAGTACCGTATGTTTTTTTTTCCTCCTCAGTCTTTTCATGCTGTTTGTAATCTGGCTGCTTMGACGGTATCACTCCCTGGCTCAGGTAAATTTCAACTTCACTCTGCACAGTACGTTTCCATGGCCCTTTCCTGCTTCTGTTTGCTTCATTTCCACCGGAAATATGTTCAATTAGCCATGGCAAATCTCAGCATAATTGAACCCAATTAAAATGCACAGATTAATGAATTGGGGGAGCTAATTGACTCACGGTCATTCTGTGAAAGGGGCTTCTGTCTTGTGCTTTTTTTTCCTTCTCTTCCCACTGCTGTTCAAATGAACCGGTTTAAACAAACTTAATATTTATGGAATCCCCCCTACCTCCCCTTCTTGTTCTTCTCTTATCCAAAAGGATTTAGTTTTCTTCAGGGTGTTGCTGTGAGTGTGAGGCCTGTGGATGATTTTTTTTCCTGAAGCCTGTCTAGCAGGTCTGTTAGGTTTAGCAGAGCTGCACGTTATCTTCCTAATCTGAAGTAAATGACGGCTTAGCGTGGGGCTTCCAGTGGATCCCATTACCTCTGGACCACACGGCTGAAAGTGACCTTATGTCCCCCTGATCCCCCACCTCCTCCCCTCATTTCTCCTCCTCCTYATACAACATAAACCCTCTCTTTACTTGCATCCTCTTTCAAAAGGTTATCTGTCAGTCAATAGTCTTTAGTGCTCTCAAGGCCCTCCTGCAAGCTTATTGTGTCCCCCCCCCCCACAACTCCCTCTGCTGTAGCCTTGGCAGGGTCATTGCTAGACACAAATTGAAAACGGGCTCTATGCGTGTGCGTGGGTTTGTCTTTGTGTGCCCACCGCAGCCGCATATCGTTACCAACACTTTGGGAAAATTAGACTGATGTGCATCACAGCTCCCTTTCCATAATTCTGTTGCACGTAGATTAACAATTGGTTTTAAATCAAGTAAAAACTTCAGTTTATGAGGAGTGGAAATAGGAAAAAAGTCTCTCAGAGATGTCAGCCACACCACTGATCATTGGAGCTATAATTTTTCTTTCCTCTGTAAGTGAATTTCAGCGTAGTGGCATCTTTTGCTCTGGGTGTTTTGTTAACTAACCTGTCGTCATGTCTTTTTCTTGGATCTTCATGGTGCAGAAGATGATTCTTAGCCTGAGTGTAGCTGCCTTCTTTGACAGCATAGCATATGTCATGGTGAGTCTGGTGCACTAAAAACAGTCTCTGTTTTGTTTATGTGTGGTGTTTTAAAAATGAAAAATTCAGAAAAAAAAATCTCACTTTCCATTTCATTTTTTTTTTAAATTCCCCAGGGTGAGACCCATCTGGAGGGATCTCTATGTGACTTCCAGGCCTGGTGGCTGACATACTTTGGTAAGACAGACTTTAATTAATTGCTCACTGGCACAACTTTTGYGGTACAAGACAAGCAAGCAGCCGAAAAACCTAGCAGGGCTCCACTGAAGACGTCTGATGAAGAGCTCATATATCACTGTGGGGAATAATATTGCTTTGTCATTTTCTTTTATGACTTGAGAAGAAAATGGGCCTTAACAGGTTAGGAGTTATTTTCAGGAATGCGGGGCTTAAAATATGAACTTACAATGTGATGAAATATGTTTTAGTTTTTAGGGCTCTCTCTGCTTTTAGAGGTCTGGTAGTTGATCCAACAGTGGCAACATGCCACACACGCAAGTTTGTATTAACTTCCATTCATTTCTGTAGACCATCCTCAGTGTGTACTGCATTTATTTATGTATAATACTAGAAATTTAACCCTAAAAATCATCCATAAAATGGGAGGGTATTAATATACACTGGTTATTGTTAATTAGATGTTTTATGCTTTTTAAGCTCAAAAATGATGATCTTATTATACTCAAGATTATATTATACGGTAAAGAACCCTAAACTAAATTCAATTCACACCTTAGTCCTAAATCTGACCCCTAATCCTAAAAAGTGTTCCATTTTAGGACTGGTCTTTGGTYCCCAAAAGTTCTACTGGTCCTGACAAGGTGGTTGTTTATACTGCAAATGGTCCTAAAAAGGTAACAAAAACCAGGTACACTCACACAGAAACACTTAWAATAAAAAGCAGCGCCAACAAAATAAWCAAGATGTTTTTAGACAAGAATGTTCTGGTACTTTTCTATCTAGACCTGCCCCAGTACCATATAAGTGTTCCTTTCAACACAAGTCAAAACTGATTACGTCCCATTAAAAAAGATTCACAGCATCATTTGTTTTATTTGTCTTCTCATTAACTATTTAAGAGAAATCAGTTAGATTTCATTATGGAATAAATAACCATATTGTTCGAACATTGTTCATCCACATGGTTTGATGAGCAAACCGCGGATTTATTCCACATGGCTGAAAGCRACCTTGCATCCTCCTCATCAGGAGTAATAATGTTAATAATGGAATTTTACCGATTATTGCCATGTATAAATTGGTTAAACATAGTCTGAGACGAATAAATGAGAGATATTAACTAGTAATTRAACACCTAAAAAATCTGATCTATAGCTTTAAAAGGATATTGTAGCTATCTTAAAGTGGGGTTGAGTGAAGTACTAATGAGTGTCTTAAAGTTGAGAGAGCCAAAATTAGGACCATTATGAAAACTAGTTATTATCTGAAACAAATTAAAATTTAACAGTGTTAAAGCTCTAAAATGAACACTAAATTGTGTATTTTTAGGCTGCATAACCTTTGCATCAGTTTTCCTTGTTGACCAAATATGAGACATTTTGCAACACAGCGGGTGATTTAATCAGTACTTTGTTACATAACAGAACAAGTCATGCTGACCAGATTGGTCCACCTTTCCAACACAAGGCTGACACTGAGTAAAAATTTCAGTGTTTCCTTGTACTGTTATGAAATGTTTGAGTTGGGTTTGATAACAAAATAAATGATCAACTTTTTGGGGGGATTTATCAGTATGAAAATATTTGTCAGGTAAAAGCGAGTACCGTATATTGTATGTTTCATCAGGTCTGAATAAAACTATTGCCAAGTCACTGATGTTGATTATAAATCACTAGAATTTAGTTCTTAGAGATACTAATGAGAAAGTTACATTTGGAGATTGCTTTTAATTTTTAGGAATAAACTTGAATATTAAAATTTGGGTGCAGTAGCTTGGTGTTCTATGCAGCTAAGGCTGCAGAGTCCAACCCAAGTCGCATCAGGAAGGGCATCCGGCGTAAAAAACAATAGCCAAATCCCTTCAGCATTGCATTATTTGCATTTTCTTTGTAATTAACAATGATTTTTATAGTTGTTCTCTCTCCTAGCAGGACTGTAACATGTACTTTTCCTTGTCCTTTTTATATATATTCTCCCCACTTCACATCTTACCTCTGTGTTCTTATGAAACCCAAGACTGCGTTTGGTTAAGAAGTGGTTAAGTTAACCTCACACACCTATGTTAGGAATTCCACCTTTGGGTACAGTGGCTCAGACTTTGTGAAACGCCCAAAACCAGAGCTCAGCATTTCTTCAGCGGCTCGAGTATGAGGAGACAACTCTCCTCCAATGACAGCAAAGAACGTCACATGTTAATTTGGAATAAACCGGAAACCTTTAGCAAAGTCAAGCAAGTTCTTAGTGATGCTTGTGCTGATTTTTTTTCCTGAAAGAATTTAAGTTGCATACCTGGCACTACAGTGTCAGCTCTTTTAGTCCTGATGAGAATAAAAAGACTGCTAATTTAAAGTGTCCCTGTAAGAAATGTTTAGAAATAGACAGTGAGTTGATTCTATATCATTGGTGCAAGTCAAGAGGATCCTTTCGCTGAGGATAAATATCAGCTGAACTTTGACTGCGTTCCAGCTCAGCTTTGTTTTTAAGCCTACAAATCAAACCGTGTTTGGAACTGTGGAGAACAGCTGCAGAGGCAGCATTTAGACAGGTGTTGAAGCTGAGCTGTTTTTGTTTCCAAGTTAAAGAAAAGATTTTGGCTGCTCTCTAGCTGTRTGGGACACGTGTTGTGACAGAAATTGTGACTTATTGTAATAACGCCACGCCTGTTGAAGCTGTTGCACATACTAAAGGTTTCTTAAAGGGGACATATGCAAAGTCCACTTTTTTATTTAGCTGATAAATGCATTTTGTTGTGTATTTGGAGTCTGAAGGAGTGTAGAAAAATTGAATTTAGTTCTGTGCTGCGTAGTTATCTTTATATTCTGATTTGGTCACCTTTTTCAACCCATTCTGTTTTCTCTAATTTCATTTAAATTTTCTGAACTATTTTGTCACAATATTTGTGACAGAACTGCCAAATAAGGTCTGGACATAACGACTACAATTAGGTCTTCATTCTCCTCTGGCTCTGTCTCAGACTCTGGCTCCAACATGTAAAGACTGGATGGACAAGTCTTCCATTGTTGACATCTTTTAATTACTACCCCTGCACGTGAAGCATATGGGGATCATGTTGTTTTTGTACTCTTTTTTTTAAGTGATTTTTGGTCAACCATAGCACAAAAACGGCTGCACCAATCAACATGAAATTTGGCAGGACTGTAGATGAGTCCGACCTACACTGCACCAGCCAACGGTTTTACGATAGACCCCATATTTGAGGAGGGGGCTCCATCCAAAGAGGGGATGTTTGGACATGCAAAAATGCTTATAACTCAGAAACTGTTCAACATAGGAGCTTCAGATTTCTTTTGTTGTTTAGCTCTCATGAAGCTCTATCCATCAGGCCCACCAATTATTGCCCCCCCAGACCCCCAATTAATCTGAAAAAGTGGTATCTGGACAAACAAAAATGGTTATTGCTCAAAAACTATTAAACTTAGGAGCTTCAGATTTTTTTTTGGTTGTTTAGCTCTGAAGAGGGGCTATCCATCACGTCAACCAATGCCCCCCCACCCCACCCCAAAACAAAACAAAAAAGACCCCCACCCAAAACCACTACAATTTTGGCATTCACCTAGTAGCATGACATTTTTTAGGAATAAAGACTTCTGAGTTCTGGTGCATTTGTGCATGCTGGGGTCATTATGTTACCGCTATGTGGTATCTAGTTAATTTGTAAATAAAATGTTTCTGCGCTTCTAGATCGACTTAACCCCCTCTATCAAACTAGAATGGACTGGTCTGGAAGCTGGACAGGGGGTGGGGTGTGGATTTAAAGAAAGAGCGTCAAAACTAGTTGATCTGAAAAGCAGTGAAAGATGGGCTTGTGGAGTTACAATGAGGAGGAATTCAGTCCAAAGCATTGCAGTTTCACTTTATCTAGATCCCAACTGAATAATTTAAATAGAAAAAAAATTTAAAAGCAGGATATGTCTCTTTTAATTCAAAGAGGAGCGTGGTTTGTGCGCAATATATGCATATATGGCAGGGGTTTGTTGTTTTGACAGAGTCGGCATTCAAACAAACCAAAACACACAAACTGTTATATAAGGCTGAACGTTAAGGTAGGAAAAGGAAGGTTCTAGATTTTCAGTTTTTTTTTTTAGTCTTTTCATGTCTTCCTCATTGTAGTCCACTCTGCCACCATCATCCCCCCACACTCGGCTAACCTCCATTTTTCCTCCTTCCGCAGCCCCCCACTCCCCGTGTTATCTCCTCCTGCTTTTCCACAGTTCATCATTATCTCTCCGTGAGCTCCAACCTCTCATCCATCACCCTAAGCTACAGGTTTCCCTCATATTACCGCAGAATGGGCCTTCATTTATCAAAGCGCAGCGCGCAGGCACACACTCCGTCAAATAGAGGCGAACACGCGTGTCTGAACACACGGCCGCAGGTGCGCACTGCGTGGCGGGCGAGCTGCGCTGTAATTTGACCTTGGTGTTTTTCTCTGTATGCATCTCTGCAGACTGGAGTGCCTTGGCCTGGGTTTGCCTCATTACGCTAAACCTGTACCTGAACCTGGTCCGAGAAATAAGCACCAACCGCTATCAGATGTGAGTAGGGGGCGATAATTGCTCCCACCCCACTCCCCCAAACATACACTTATTTTTAATTAGTTAATCAGCTCACTGTGTCTTTAAATTTTCAATAACTTTATTTTGATGTACATCTAAAAAGCTTTAAATGAAGAATTGATAGATTTTAAGCATTAATTGAATTAAATTTTAATAATAAAGGTGATTATTGCTTTTTTTACATGATTTTTCTAGCTTCAGTTCCACCCTAAATGAACTGCTTTATCACTTGTGCCTACAGTCAGCTTATGCTTTTTCCCCGTCTCCCTCTCTGCATGTGTTTGTTTAAAGGGCTCCCTTCTTCATGTGTGTTTGTGTTTGTGCGTGTGTTTGGTCCACAGCAGCATGTGTATCCCCACAGAGCACTGACAGCCCCCCCCCCTTTTTTTTTCTCCTCCAGCCAGCTGACACTCTAATTGAAATGGGAGTGAGTGTCAGCCGTTAAGTGTGCCCTGGTGTTTGTGTGTGTCTGCGCGCACACACCCATCTTGACGCTTTTTGCCTGTGTGTTTCTGTCGCTCAGGCTCCCGCTCGTCTTTCTACAGCGCGGTTGAGTTTGCCTGTGTTTGTGTGTAATATTTTAGCATTTGTTTTCTGCCAAGCTTTTTGGCAGAAGCGCACAATAAAAAAAGAAAAAGAAAATGTAGGCAGAAAAGAAAGAGCCTCCTTMGCTCAAGGTTCTATCCTGTTAATGTGTTTAGGTGGGCAGATTTCTGTGAGAGCATTAAGGGAGGCGTCCCACCACCACCTATGGGAGTTTTTCTGCATTGATTAGCAATAAGCCAGACAATTTAATGATGGTATAACTCATGCGGAGATGGCTTTTTATGTGGAGGTGCAGGCTAGAAGACCAGATTCTTAGTTCACTCAAAGGAGGGAAGATAAAGTCCACTTTCTTTCAACTCTTGGGTTTTACACATAAGGTTCAAAAGGACCCAGCAGCTGGCAAATTACGCCGTGTAAAATTTCCACTTAGGCATATTTTCGCCATCTACTTTTGCTGTGGTCAAAAAACACTTTTTTCGTTTAGAGTCCTATATTTAAACTCAAACACCCCCTCAAGTGGGAATTCCCAGTCTGAAAGACCACAGTGAAGTTAGTCTTAGGTTGGATATTATTAGATATTCGTGCTGAATGCAGCATCGTTTTCTTCTCTTCTCATCGAGTGCAGGCAGTCTGATTTTGGTCAGTTGCCCTCCGGGTACTCGCTCCTCCTCCCCACATCATGGTTCACTTAGGGGCTGTCGTTAAATTACTACTCATCTACGCATCGTGGTTCGCTTAGGGACAGTCAATAAATTATCGACCAAACAACATTTGAGAAAAAAATCAATGAGTTTTAGGTCCTGTGACCCACTGATACAAGGTCTTTCTGCATGGAGTTTACATGTTCCCCTTGTGTTTGCGTGGTTTCTGCGGTTTAGGCTAACGTTAGGCCCAGGCCTTTCTTGCAAAAGAGATCTGGGATCTCAATGGGATTTTCTTGGTTCATTAAAGGTCAGTTTACCATGTCAGCACTTTTTAAAGTGTGTAAAAAAACAAGTCCACCCCACAATTCAATAAGCCTTTAAAACCATCTTTAGCTGTGAAAAGTTGAAGTTGTTTTCACATTTGACTTTGACCATCATCAGTATGAACACTTGGTTTTTAAAGGGGACCTATTACAGGTCTTTCTAAAAAAAAATAGCATATTGTGATAAAGTTCATTATTTTCTGTAATGTACTGATAAACATTAAACTTTCATATACTTTAGATTCACTTCACACCAACTGAAGTAGTTCAAGCCTTTTATTGTTTTAATATTGATGATTTTGGCAAAAAAGTAAAGAAAAATAAAAAATCTCTTATCTCAAAAAAGTAGCATATTTCATCCGACCAATGAAAGAGAAGTGTTTTAATACAAAAAAGTCAACCTTCAAATAATTATGTTCAGTTAAGCACTCAATACTCAATACCTTTTGCAGAAATGACTGCTTCAATGCAGCGTGGCATGGAGGCAATCAGCCTGTGGCACTGCTGAGGTGTTCTGGAGGCCCAGGATGCTTCGATAGCAGCCTTAAGCTCATCCAGAGTGTTGGGTCTTGTGTCTCTCAACTTTCTCTTTACAATATCCCACAGATTCTCTATGGGGTTCAGGTCAGGAGAGTTGGCAGGCCAATTGAGCCCAGTAATACCATGGTCAGGAAACCATTTACCAGTGGTTTTGGCACTGTGAGCAGGTGTCAGGTTGTGCTGAAAATGAAATCTTCATCTCCATAAAGCTTTTCAGCAGATGGAAGCATGAAGTGCTCCAAAATCTCCTCATAGCTAGCTGCATTGACCCTGGCCTTGATAAAACACTGTGGACCAACACCAGCAGCTGACATGGCACCTCAGACCATCACTGACTGACAACTCTTCTTGTTGTGCAGCGTTTTCTGCCACACTTTTTCCTTCCCACAGACTTCCCACTGAGGTGCCTTGATACAGCACTCTGGGAACAGCCTATTCGTTCAGAAATGTCTTTCTGTGTCTTACCCTCTTGCTTGAGGGTGTCAATGATGGTCTTCTGGACAGCAGTCAGGTCAGCAGTCTGTGACCCATGATTGCGATTTTGAGTAATGAACCAGGCTGGGAGTTTTTAAAAGCCTCAGGAATCTTTTGCAGATGTTTAGAGATAATTCGTTGATTCAGACGATTAATAATAAGTTGTTTAGAGCAGGGGTTCTCAAACATTTTGGGTCTGAGGACCACTTACAAGTGTGAAAATTTTCCAGGGACCCCCTCATAAACCCCATGCTGTTTTAGAAATAATTTACTGTCATTTTAACCCCTAAATATTATGAGAATATTAAGTTTTTGTTTGGTTTAACATGTTTGTTTTACTAGTACATTGTTCCTCATGTTAATTTTTCAAATAAAATCCAAAATACCCATTTATTGAAAATTTTTGAGGACCCTCAATATAGGGCTCGTGGACCCCTGGGGGTCCTGGGACTCCAGTTTGAGGACCTCTGGTTTAGAGAACCTTTTCATGGTATGCTAATTTTTTGAGATAGGGATTTTTGGTTTTTCTTTTCTTTTTTGCCAAAATCGTCAATATTAAAACAATAAAAGGCTTGAACTACTTTAGTTGGTGTGCAATGAATCTAAATATATGAAAGTTTAATGTTTATCAGTACATTACAGAAAATAATGAACTTTATCACAATATGGTAATTTTTTGAGAAGGACCTAAATGCAAAATTCACTTTTTTACACGTTTTTATGCTTCGATTTGGGTCTGTACGACTTCCATAAAGAGTCCAAGCATCAAACAAATTCTCCCAGCTGTTTTTTGAAAAAAACAAAAACAAAACAAAACAAAAAAAAACCAGTAGACCTTGCCTGCCCCTCGGTTCATCTTCACCGTCCTCAGGAAGCGGTGACAGATGCGCGTTGGCCTCCGTGTTGGGATGGCGGAGCTATTGTAAACAAAATGTTGGGGGTGTGGCTAACAGTTACTTATTTGCATAAACAGGTCATTCTGAAGGGAGCTCAGAACAGGCAGAACTGACCAGGTGAAATCTCATCATCTGAAAATGATTTTGTGTATTTAATAATGTGAACATGTTTTGTATAGCCCAGAGATGTATCCTAACTTGTTCAAGGAAACACAATAAGTGCTCTTTAAAATTTGTTTATGTGGCTGTTCTTAAATGATGTGTAAAAAAGGGAAAAGAGACAATGATTTAAAAGGCTAAAATAAAGGCGAAATGTCAGTAGAGCTGTTGTTTATTGATTGTGCACAGATAAGCTTTGTGTGTTTTGGCAGATGGGTACGTACACCCCCCCTCTGACCCAACCTTACACCCTCACTCTAGCATTCACACATGTACACCTCCAGCGTCGGCTCAGCTTGATGGTTTATGAATGAACAAATCGCCAGAGGAGGTGGAGAACGGAGGCTGGATGATCTAAGAATGATTGAAGTGGATGCAAGAGAGGGTAGGAATAGAAATGTGTGTGTGTGTGCGTTTGCGCGTGTGCGTGCATATTTCCGAAATAGGAATCCAGGCAAAGCGAGCACGTCAGGCGCTGGTGGAGGAGGGATGGCGATGAAGATGGAGGAATAAAAAGGTGGTGCGAGGCGGTGGGGAAATGAGATTGCGTCCTATGAGATTCAAGTGCGCGTTCGTCTGCAGTCGCGCGTGGGAGCACGTGCATGCGTCTGAAACGCAGAGCTGTCCTGCTGCGCCTCATTAAGCCCATGTTGCGTGCAGCTCCGGACCTCGTCATCGCTCCTCTCAAAGGGCTCTGTGAGTGCGAACAGAGCGTGCTAGAAAGTGAGTGCTGTGGGGTTTGGGTAAGGGGGTTCTATTAGCT